TTTAAAGTATAACCAAATAACTGTAACTACTTTTTTCCACTACTGATGGGTTCAAGCAACAAAGCAGTTGTATTTGCCTATCAAAATATAGAAAGAAAGCAAATTACATCACTTGTGTTCACTAATCTTTGAAGACTACAGGGTTTTATGCAAAATAAGTACTGCAGTGCTCTGCAGAGTGATTGCAAAAATATATTTTGGCTTTACTTCTCTATTTTGAGAGTAACAAAAATATTAATATTTCTGGTTAATATTTAAGTGCCCGCCAAATCCATATGCAGAAATTGATTATTATCAACATACTTCACAAATCTACTCAAATATAAAAATCTTTTATCTTGAAAACAAATAAAATGCAAAACTACACATCTGACTAAAATATACAATGATAAAATATACAATGATAACTGGTGGTAGCACAGCAGAGAAAAAAATATGAGATAATTTTAAAGTATTTAAAATTATATTAAGGCTTTATACTTTGAAAGCAAAGAAAAGGCTATTATAAGGCTTTCCCCCTAAGATCAAGAAAAAATAGAATGTCTTACCACTTGTATTCAACATTGTAGAGGTTCTAACAAATAGAATTAGGTCAGAAAATGAAATGAAAAGCATTTTTGGACAAGAAGAAGTAAAACTATCTCTGTTTGCAGATGAAACAATCTTATATATAGAAAATCATAAGAAATCCACTAAAAAACTATGAGAATAAATTAGTTCAGCAAGGATATAAGATCAATACACAAAAATCTATATACTCTTGCAATAAATAATCCAAAAGTGAAATTAAGAAAACAATTCCATTTAAAATATCACACAGAATAACCGGGAATATATTTAACAAAAGAAGTATAAAACTCATACTCTGAAAACTACAAAATATTGTTTAAAGAAACCAAACAAGACAAATGGAAAGACATCCCATGTTCATGGATCAGAAGGCTTAATATTGTTAAGATGGCAATACTTCCCAAACTGATCTACATACTGAAAACCAGCTATGGAAATCCCAGCTGGTTTCTTTGCTAATTCTAAAATTCACATAGAAATTTAAGAGACTGGAATAGCCAAAACGATCTTGAAACAGAATAAAGTTGAAGGGCTCACAGGTCCTGATTTCAAAAATTACTACAAAGCCACAGTAATAAAGATAGTGCATTGTTGGCATTCGGATAGATCAATGGAATACACTTGAGAATCCAGAAAAAAACAAAAACCTCACATTTACAGTCAACTGATTTCTGACAAGAGTACAAAGATAATTCAATGAAGAAAGAATAGTCTTCAAAAAATGGTGCTGGGACAACTAAATATCCACATACAAAAGAATAAACTTGGATCCCTACACTTCACACTCAATATAAAAATTAACTCAAAATGGATAAAGTCCTAAATGTAAGAGCTAAAACTATAAAACACTTAGAAAAAAACATAAGCACAAATCTTCATGACCTTGGATTAGGCTATGGAAGACTTGAATGATGAGAAAAAGGCACATACAAAGATCTGGAGAAAGGGGAAGAATATTCCAAAGAGAGGAAAAGAGCAAGAACAAAAGCCTTGAAACAAAAAACAAACCAGCCTTAGAAGACAGAAGAAATCAGAAAGGTAAGTAGGGGCATTATAGGCCAAATACAAGTATATATGTTTAGCAAAACTGTATCACAGCACTGCTCCCAAGGTGACCATTTCACATAGTAAACTATGAAGTGAAAGGTGCCCCTACAGTGAAACAATGAAGCAGTTCAGATTACAATGTATTCAGATTGACCTGACAACTCTTCAAAAAGGCTGTCCCTTAGTCTCATAGTGTTTAGTTCAACTTTATGCATATTTTCAATAATTATACTAGTCAATTATATATACTGACTTTTTTAAAATGGCATCTCAAGTTTCATTCACATTTTGAACAATTAATCTCACAGCAATTCAAACTGTTTACATGGCTTTTTTATTCCTTTTATTTTTCATTTTGTTTTTATTCCTTTTTTTAAATTTGTTTACTTTTTACTTTTTTTTTAGATTACATCTTGCCATCCAATGTTTTTATTCCTTTAATAGATAATACATTTACATGATTCAAAATGCAAAAGGGTAAAAAGTCTCCCTCTTACCCTGCCTCTCAGGCATATACTTCCCATCTCTAGAGGCAATAAATGTTATCAGTTGTAGTCCTTGTGCATATTTCCAGGGAGATTTTATATCTTGGCAATTGTTTCACATCAGACCATAAAGGTTTCTCATTTTTCTAATGGCCCAAAAGTATTTCACTGTGTGGATATAGTATTTTATTCTTTTATTAGTAACTTTTTTTTTTGAGACATACTCTCACTCTTGTTGCCCCGGCTAGAGTGCCATGGCGTCAGCCTAGCTCACAGCAACCTCAAACTCCTGGGCTCAAGCAATCCTCCTGCCTCAGCCTCCCGAGTAGCTGGAACTACAGGCACGTGGCACCATGCCCAGCTAATTTTTTCGATATATTTTTAGTCAACCAATTAATTTCTTTCTATTTTTAGTAGAGACAGGGGTCTTGCTCTTGCTCAGGCTGGTCTTGAACTCCTGAGCTCAAACAATCCACCCACCTCAGCCTCCCAGAATGCTAGGATTACAGGTGTAAGCCACCGCACCAGGCCATATTCCTTTATTAGTAACTTTTAAATGGAAAATATTTGGGAAAAAGGGCACCTCCTAGGGCAAGAGTTAACTCTTTATCTATGGATGGGCTTCAGAAGATAAGTGAACCCCCTAACATGGTGTATATGTACCTATATGCATTTCTCTGGGCAGAAAATTTGCATACAATTCACATTTATCAAAGGGAACTGAGACACAAAGATTAAGAACTACTGTCTTATACTATAACTTGGGCACAGGTATTCACTGAACATTTATTGAACAGAATTTTATAGTGGTTTGTTTTTTTTTTTGAAACAGGGTCTCACTCTGTTGCCAGGGCTTAGAGTGCAGTGGTGTCATCATAGCTCACTGCAATCACAAATCCCTGGCCTCAAGTAATCCTCCTGCCTTGGCCTCCTGAGTAGCTGGGACAACAGGCACACCATGCCTGGCTAATTTTTCTTTCTTTTTTTTTTTTTTTTTTTTGTTGTTGTTGTAGAGATAAGGACTCTCTTGCTCAGGCTGGTCTCAAACACCTGGTCTCAATCAATCTTCCTGCCTAGGCCTCCCAAAATGCTAGGATTACAGATGTGAGCCACTTCCCCCGGCCTGAACAGAATTTTAGTGTAGGGGTTTGCTAAATTTTATACTAGGGAGGGCTAAATTAAATACACACACACACATATATACACACACCTATACACACACACACACGTATTTCAGAGACAGGGCCTCAAAAAATATATATATATATATACACACACACACACACACACATATATTTAGAGACAAGGCCTCTACTGAACCATGAATAGCAGTACTAAAGAAGAAAAATTTTGAAAGTACCTGAATGATCACAAGTTGACCATACAAGCTGTTGTTTACCATAACTCACAATATCAGAGTCATCTACAATGTCCCTTAAAATCTACACAACTTTCCAAAAAAATCCTAAGAAAATAGATCATTGGTAGTTGTGTAATACGTACTACCTGTCAGGCACCGTATTGGAAGCTTTACATATATTATCTTGTTTAATCCTCAAAACAATCATTTAAGGTAGCTATTATTTTCCCTCCTTTTATAGGTAAGGAAGGAGATTAAAGTAAAGCTATTTACTTGCTCAAGACCACATAACTACTATAACTAAACTATACTAAAACAATAACTAAACTATAAACTATTAAACTAAAACATCCCCCCATTCTTCATCTTTAAGACTCCAAATTTCCTCAACTTTCCACAATACCATGGTGCCTGAACTCCAAAATGTAATGATAATCATTTTAGGGAGGCTGTATAATGTGGTGGTCCGAAACATTTAGGCTCTAATTCCAGTCCAAACATCTACTACCTGTATGACAAATTGTTTAAATTCTAAAAGATGCCTTTACCACCTATAAAACTAGATCGCAATGGGTTGAAATGAAAAAAAGGTACGTAAAATAAACAGTTCACATATTGACCTGAAGAAGATGCTTGGTCTAGGGTGGCTACTACCATTATTATTTTATCCTTTTTTAAAGAAGAAACATAAAGGGCTGCAAGGTTTCCCAATTAAGCATATAACTTTTACCCCCTAGAATGTTGTCATTCTGACAAGCTGAAGAATGACTGAAAAAATTATACCTGATTGTTAAGGATCTTCTGGCTTAATGTAACATCTTAAATTGTCCTTTAAATGAGAAATATTTCAAACATATAACCATGTCCATTGCCATACCATCATGAATGTCTGTTTTGCTGGCTCTCAATTTGTTTGATGCTTTATACAGAATGCTGCACTGAGGTTCTGGGGTATTTAAAAGTATTGCTTAACATCAGGCGATAGGTGACAGCTATCTGTATTACAAATGTATTACATCTGTTTCTATTCGCTGTACTTATTTTTCCTGGTAAACCCTGTAATCTCTTTGACTCCTATGAACTCTTCTGAACAAAAAACATACGGCCCATGCCCTTGGTCTCAAATCGGCCCAGATGAGCCTTATTGACGAGCGGACATGAGCAGGGCTGTTAATGCTAAAAGTTGAAGACCATGAACAACTTATTCATACGGAAAAAAAGTTTGTTACATCCTTCCCCCTCATGACTTGAAGCTTAAATTAGGAAGGACTCAAACTGAGGTTCGGGCAACACTAAGCAGGAAAATAACTTTGCCGCTGCGCCCCAGAATCACCATCATTACTCCCTCCCCGCAGCGGCGAGGTCGGCGCGCCGGGGACGCCGTGCGCGCAGCGGCCGGTGCGCGGCCCTGCTCTGCCGTCGCTCCTCCCGGCCCAGCGCCGCCGTCCTCCCCCGCCCGCAGACCCGGAGTGCCCGGCCACGCCCGGCCTGCAAAGTCTCCCAGGACCCGAGCCGCGCGGCCACGCCGAGGGGCTCACCATCGCAGCGCAGGGCTGAGGCGCCGGTGCGCAGGCCGGCCGGCTGGCGAATCCGTTATCGGAGTTCGGAATCCATTCGCGCCAACAACTTCTCCCGCGAACAGGAAGAAGGCGACGGCGGCGCGCGGTGACGACGTCAGGAGGCGCGCTCCCCTCGGCCCCGCCCACGATGGGAGGGGCGATGTCCGCCCCGGTGCAGCCCCTGGAGGCCACGGCCACTGCCCGCGCGAGTTGGCGCGGGATGCGGTTGGGGCGTGGGCTTGTGTGGTTGTGTTGGACGCTCCAGGCGGCATCCGAGGTTGGTTTCCTTGGAAGGCGGGTACCTTCCTGGGAAACCTTCCTTGTTCCTCCGGGTTCCGCGTCTGGAGGGTGCACGGACCTACAGTAGCTTTCAGCGTTCTTACCGCCACCTGCGCCTCCCAAAGTGCTGGGATTACAGGGGTGAGCCACCGCGGCTGCCCCACCCCATTTTAGAAATGAAACATAGGAGGCCCAAACAAATTAAGGAGTCCAGCTTTGCTACAAGGCTAGGAACCTAGACCTCCAAGTTCCCAAACCTGCACTGATCTAAATCCCTCAAAGAGCAGTGGTGTTTATGAAGCCAAGGCATAACAAGGTGCCTCTCCATTGAGAAAAGCAGTGATACCAAAAGCTTTGGAGTAAACAAGTTTTATATTAAGAGATGAGCAACTAGGCTGGGCACTGTGGCTCACGCCTATAATCCTAGCACTCTGGGAGGCTGAGGCGAGCGGATTGTTTGAGCTCAGGAGTTCGAGACCAGCCTGAGCAAGAGCGAGACCCCTGAGACCCCTTCTCTACTAAAAATAGAAAAGAAAAAAAAATACATATATATATAAATTAGCCAAGCTTGATGGCACATGCCTGTAGTCCCAGCTACTCAGGAGGCTGAGACAGGAGGACTGCTTGAGCCCAGGAGTTTGAGGTTGCTCTGAGTTAGGCTGACGCCACAGCACTCTACCCCGGACAACAGAGTGAGACTCTGTTTCAGAAAAAAAAAAAGGCTAGGCCGTGTATACCTTCAATTTCTATGTGGCCTTTTTTTGGCAATGGGAACTAAATTATAATAGGTACTACTTCCATGCCCTAGTATTAATTGAAAGACTGTAATAGTGCATCTCCAGGAAACTGAAGATACACAAAGAATACAACAAAATAAGGATGCTGATTTTTAGATAGTTTTTCAGAGTGGTACAGAAAAGTCATTTATTGATAATGTAAATTATTAGCTAACAAAGATTCCTTGCCTGGTTGCTTAAATGTGTTTTGACCAAAAGTTTTTCCTCATCTTCCTTAGTCATTAGTTCAGCTCTTCTTAGTGTGAATATTTCTCAAGCCACCTGAGGAATAAATATGACTGATAATTGATTGTAGTGTCAGGTTGGTAGGGCAATTGGATAAGCACTGCAGTTTCCATAATTAAGGATATCTATGACAAATCTATGACAATATTTCTTAAAATTTTTTTCTTGTAATAATTATTTGAAACCTAACACAAGAAGACACTTTTTTTTGAGATGGGGTCTCACTGTGTTGTCAGGACTGGCCTTGAATCCTGAGCCTCAGCCTCCCAAGTAGCTGGCATTACAGGTATGTGACACCATATCCAGCTAAAGAAGACACATTTTTAAGAGCCCTATTGTATACTGGATCTGATTATGTGGTCCTCACTGGCCTTACCTTAATCCTTAAAACAAAGGGTTTCAGGGAAAACTTTATCAGCAAAGCCAATTTTGGGGAAATTGGATCTATTTCCCTCCTCTCCTTAAGAATATATCACTAGTGGAAGTATAATTTACATTCCATGAAGCACTCTACCCCAAAAGTTAGAATATTGACATTAACATCTTGATTAGTATGTTTCTAAGCTTGGGAGTAGTTGGATTATGTTTATAATAATTGGCTCTCTTTTCCATAACATATACAGAGAGAAAAATCATTACCCTCCTGAAATGATTAAAAGGTATGTATTAGAAAGTGCATGATCTGAATTTTGGGTTTTCCTTATACTGAATTTTGGGTTTCCACTTATACTGTGTATAAATGGAAAACAACTGAAGTGGTCAAAATAAATGCTCACTGTTAATACATCTGCCTAAGGTAACTTATCTATGTGATAGAAATAACTCTTTACCTGGAGTCACTTTGAAATCTTTTTCAGAAGTACAATAATCACATTATCTTTCACTAGACTTTTAAAAGTCAACAGAAATCAATAAAGTTTTCACTGTGCGACAACAAATGTGACTTTCTGCCCTCTGGATAAATATTAGCATGTCCTGCTTTGTCAGAGTTTATTGGAACATTTTCCTTATAGAAAACAGTCTGTTAGGCAACTTACCTTTTTCTGTGTTTGTGATGACTACAGATATAGACCAGTGATGTTGACCTTATAATCCATTTATAAACATAATCATTTTTTTTTTTTTGAAGACAGTCTTGCTTCTGGGGCCCAGCTAGGGGTAAGTGCCCGGCATCATCCGTAGCACACAGCAAACCTGCAAATCGATGGGCTCAAGGCGAATCCTGCTGCCGCAGCCTCCTGAGTAGCTGTACTGACAGCATGTTCCACCAGCTCGATAAGTTTTGTGCTAGGTAGATATATAGGGTGGCCAATTGAATTGTCGTCGGAGGTGGGTGTGATGAGTAGAGACAGTCTCACTTCGTTACTCGGCTGAGTCAAGAACTCGGACCTTGAGCAATCTGCCTGCTCTCGCCTGCCAGACGGCTAGGATTACAGGGTGTGAGCCACTGCGCGGCCGGCCTGGATGAACAGTAATCATTGAGAAGTGCATAATATGGCAACCACTAAGAGTACACGAGTATGGCTGCGTAATTTGAGAAAGTTAGCACGTTGAACGTATGTCATTTATCTTAATTCTTTGAGTGACAGCCAGGGTCAGTTCGTGAAGTATGATTGATGGTCTTGAGTAATTAATTTGTATGATAAACGTTGTGCTGGATAACTTCTTGTATAGCCGTAGGGCAGGGATGGAATAAAAGTTTTTTGCCAGAGTATGAATACAGTATCTGTCACGGTAGGGAGAGGAAGAGGAACGATGGTGACATTTAGTGAAAGAAGTAAATTTAGACAACAAAACAGTGGATAACTGTTGACTGTGGACATAGACATTGATGTACAGTTACGATCATAAGTAGTATCGTCAAATTGTGGATTGAGCTTCCTGAGATGATCCATTGCAATGTGCTCTATGGTGGTGGGTATAGGACACGGAAGCAACAGAATCTCCAAGTAGCACTTGTGAGGGAGTAGATCAGAATGTATGTGAGGATGATCCTGGAGCAAAGTAATTCCAGGATTTCTGTTGTTGGTGTGTGTGGAACGAAGAGAATGATTGAGTGTCATGGTGACCTGACTGCCAATGTGATGACTAGCAAGTGCGTATAGTAACCAAAACAGCATGGACTGCGATAAAAGTAGACACAGCCGTAGGATCAGTGAACGAGGAATGGAGAACCCGACGAAAGAAAGCCATACCGTACAACCAAGCTGAGTTTTAAGCAAATGCTGACTAAAGAATATAGCTAAGGAAAGACATGCTACATTCAATAGAATGGGCTGGAGAAAATTGGATCGCACATGCAGAAGAAGTGCAAACTGGGATCGCCTGGATGATTTACCAGGGTATACAAAAAGTGTACTCAAGCCAGGCGTGTGGCGCTCATGCCTGTAATCCTACGCGCTCTGGAGCCGAGGGTGCGGCGGATTGTCAAGGTCAGGAGTCGAGAACCAGCCGAGCGAAGGGTCGGAGCCCTCTCGAACTATAAATAGAAAGAAATGTAAGGTGGGCCCAACGTGAATAGGTAGATAGAAAAAATAGCCAGGCATGGGGTGATGCCTGGTAGTTCCCAGGTAGCGGCTCGGTGGCTAGGCGAGGGCAGGATGCTTGAGCCAGGAGTGGAGGTTGCGTGGACGTAGGCTGGAGGCCACGCGACGTCAGCGTGCGTAAGCCTAGCAGAGCAAAGGAGACCCTGTCTAAAAAGAAAGAAAAGAGAGAAAGAAAAGAACGGTAGACCTGAAGGGCCCAGGACAAGTGTCATGCTTCTGCCGACTGACCAAGCAGGCATACGAGCGCCGGACCGATGATCGTTGTCATCTGACATCTGATTATTCTTTCTTTACTGGCAGAGAGGCGTAACTCAACAAAAAAAATGAAACTAATAAGGTTAATAGGATGGAGTATGACCTGTGTGAATAATTTACTAAGAGCTTATTGAGCAAGTATGGGAATATTGTAGCAATAGGTAACAAAGGACCGGATTAGAGCAGAGATCGGAAAAGCCGGGGAGAGCACGCAGGCACAGTGGCTCTCGACGCCTGGAATCCTAGACTCTGGAGGCAGAGGTGGCAGGATGCTGAGCATCGAGGAGTCGAGATGTAGCCTGAGGAGCGAGCGACCCCGGTCGACGTACTAAAAAAAGAAAGAAATTAGCTGGACAACTAAAATATACACATATATCATATATGAATTAGAGCTGCGGATGGGTGGGGCATGCGCTGTCAGTCCCAGCGACGCAGAAGCTGGAGGGCAGAGGGGATCGCTGGCCCAGAAGTAGAGGTCTGCTGAGAGGGGACACCATGGCACTGTTAAGCCAGGGGCAGACAGGGAGTGAGGACGTCCTGGTCTCAAGAAAAAAAAGAAACCAAGGCAATTATTAAACTTAAGTATAGGAAAACAAAAAGTAAGAAAGAGAACATAAAAAAAAAAGAGAGAGAACATAATCAAAATACATTACATACAATGTGTATATATATATAAGTGATAATACTCAGCAATGAATAACATTTATATTAAAATAATTTAAACTCAAAATATTGATTTAACTACAAAGGTAGATTTTTTTTTTACCAACAGGAAATGGTAGTATAAGAAAGAAAGCCAAATCATTATCTACCATAATGAGAAATCAATTGACAAAATCTAAAATTGATGAGTTGAAAGATAGTATCTGTATAATATGCAAAGTATAAATATGGAGATATTTGCACAAAAATGAAAACATTTTGCACATGTAAATACATTAAAGTAGTTAAATAATGTTCTAAAATGCATTGGTGATGGTTGCACAACTCTGTGAATATATTAAAACTACTGAATTGTA